GTAAGCCTACATCTAACCTAGATTACCTATTAAAGATATACGGGATGTATTCACCCATAGATGACCCTTCTAGGTAAGCCTACATCTAACCTAGATAACGTATCAAAGGTTTCGGGATGCACATCTATCCTTGGTAACCTCTTAACTGTATTCACCTGCAGTGACACCTCTTGAGAAAACGACAGATATGGGGCGGGGTCCATTGCCCAGGAGAGATCAATTGGAAATCCCAGTTAAGGCGATGGAGAACCTCTTGAACCCTCCGTAATCTCTCAATGTTGTACCTCCTTGAAGCAAAATGTATAAAAACCCTGATCTCTTTGGGGAGCCTCTTCCGATAGAGGAATCGCCTTTCCTGCTGCGCACCCAGAAAGGAATTTGGTCTAAAGAGTTTCTCGTGTCCGGCAAAGTTCTTGGCCGTCGTCTCCGGGAAAGAACCCCGTTTTGGGTCCCAGAATTCTTTTAGCTTGTATTTTATATCTGCCCTTCCCCTTTTACTTTTAAACAGGTCGTTCATTGTTTTGTTCTGTCCTGGTCTTTGACTGAAATAAACTCCGAATCCGAATCTGCCCAACACGCCGATACAAACCCACGCACGCAGACACACCCACGTTCTTGGTCCTTTACACACCCAAGAGCCTGCACCCTTTGAACGGTCCCTTCCCAATACGCAACCGTCCAAAGAAGATATAGGGTGCCTGCAGAAAAGCGTGTGTGATGTGAATCATAGTCTGTGTCGTGTGTCTGCAGAAACGCACACACGGTGTCTATGATTCCATTGCGGAATTAGAAAAATATTCTCAGCCTCGCTTTTTGTCCTCACTCTTCACGATAGACCTATAAACTAGGTCTTGCCCCAGATACTTCCCCAAAACCTGAAAACAAGCCTATTTTCTTTCTCTTCTTCATCAAAGCGCAAAGCGACACCATCCAAGCAAAGCATTGACAGACGCAGAGCAGACAGATCTCTCCTGCCACAACCTCATTCTTGATTTGAACGCAGGACCAAGAAAAAATGCCAGTCCCCAAAGTGTAAGACCATTCTCCCCCCAAACCAAACCGCTGCTTAACGCCCCCCCAAATAAAAACCACTTTTTTCTGTCTTTTTTTGCACCCAGATTCATCCGTAAGACTTTATTCTAGTTCACGGTAGGATTGGCTCTGGATGGCATACATTTCTCTCCCAGAGGTTAGCTCCAGATGGAAAAGGAGTGCCTGGGTGTGAGTTTATCCCTCCTGGAGAAAATATTCTTGGGAGTAAATGGTTGGGATTATTCGCGCTTTACCGTCCAGCGTGGTCACCAAGGCCTTCGCTTCGGAAACCGCCGCCTCTCCGTTGGCGAGGGAAGATTTTGCCAGCGCGCGGGCATCGTTCGTTCTTCGCCATAACTGTGAGCCAGGAAAAAGCAAGATTAGATTAAAAACTCACTTCCTCGTGAGATGGGCGGGGTCCAGAGCTGAACTGTCAATAAATCCAAATACATTTAAAAAAGAGCCACGGAGGATTATCTCAATATAGGATTTGCTGCGGTGAGATTATTCTGCGTAAAAAGATGGGAAGGTTGGCACTGCCCGCTACGGAGGAGGGGTGGGTGAAATGGACCGATCTTGTTGAGTTGAATAAACGGGCTTCTTTGATGAGAGAAAAGACAATATCTACATTGATTGGCAGGGGCTTTTTGTTAAAAAAAAAAATGAACTTAGATCCCAACAATTGAAGAATGGACTATTAAGACAATGGACTTAGCTCAGAGGGCTAAACTTACGGATCAGTTAAATGACAAGAATATGGATGATTATGAGAATGATTGGCGACCTTTTCTTAGATACATGGAATTAACCCAAAAAATAACATTGTGTATATAAAATGTAGTTGTCGGATATTTAATTAAACAGAAAGAGAGGAGATATTTACTGGCACTAGTAAAGATGCGAAAATAACATATTTGTAGATACATTCACCGTTCAGTTAGAAACCCCACTTTTAAAATGTTCTGCTTTCCCCCCCTTTTTTTCCTCCTCTGTATTTTTCTTTCTTTACTATGTTTCTTCTTTTCCATGCATATATTGTTCTATGTCACTGGTGTTTTATATGTATCACGCAATGTCTTATATGTATTCATTTGCTATTTTTAATTAATAAAGTTGAAAAAAATAAATGAACTTATGATTTATGGTTTTGATGATGAGACAGGATAGATTATAGAAAGAAGAGAGAGGTTAAAATATAATTGCATTTATAACTGCTGTGAAGAATATCAGAAGCCCCTCCTTTATGTCTTTATATCTTTATAACTTTCTTTTTTTTCTATGTTCTTCTATGTTCTTTTCTTATTGCACTTTTAGCTTTTTCTGTTCTTTCCTTCTTTCTTTTTTACTTTTTCTGTTCTGATTTAGTTTCTTGCAGTTTTTATTATTTTTTAAAACTTTTAATAAAAACTATATAAAAAAGGGGGAAAAAAAGGAAAAAGCAAGATTAGGACCAAGAAGATCTCCCCAGAAAAGAAGTGTTGTACAGGTAGTTCTCACTTAGCGACCATAACTGGGACCGGCAACTCCGTCACTAAGCGAAGCAGGAAATCACATAACTGCGACTGCACTTTCCAGTTTGAAAGTGACAAGGCGAATCAGTTTCACACCTTTGGCTTTTGTTTGGGCACTGGGATAATTCCCAAAAAGGGAATTAATGTTTGAATTTGCATTCATTGGAGAGGAAGGGATTAGAAGAGAGTAAGCAGGCACACAGTGGGGAATACACATGGAAAGCAATGCGCTGGCACCAGCAGCGCACTACGCAAACAGCCTGGTGTATTCCCCACTGCGTGCCTGCTTACTCTCTTCTAATCCCTTCCTCTCCAATCTCTCTGCTCCGCAAGGAGGAAAAAAGGAAAAAAATCAAAAGTCAGGCATGAGGCAAGGCATACGGACTGTAATGGCGATCACGTAACTGAGGGATGCTGCGAAGTTTGTAAATGGGTGGTAAAGTTATTTTTTCAGCACCGTCGTAACTGAGAACGGTCGCTGAACAAGTGGTCGGTAAGCGCGGACTACCTGCAATTCTTTAACTCTGGAGCAGACTCGGCCTGAGTCATTAAGTCAAGCCATAACCTTGGGCGGTTCCTTCTGGTTGAGGATGATGTGTGAACCCAGCCCTTGAAATGACCAGCCGTGAGTTATGGGGCTGTATGCATATGGCAGTCGTACCTGGGCTGCAAATCTCGAGCTGATCGCTAGGTGGCAGACCAGAGTTAGTTTTCTGTACATCTTTACTGCCCCCTAGTGCCCATCTGGAGCTTTGCAGGGCAGATATGGAGGCCCTTTTAAAAAGTGAGCCATGGTGGCTTAGCCAGATGGGTGAACCCAGTCTTGGTTGGCTCCCTTGGACAGCTCAAAGGGCCCCATCTGTGCCTGAAAGCGCAAAGCCATCTCTAGGCGTTTTCCAAACTGCAGCTGCCAGCTAACGTAAGAATAAAGTAGCTAGTCCTCATAGTGAAAAATAGACATTCCACCCCCAACCACCAGGACTTTACTTATTAGAAAGAAAGTAGTTTGCAGCTTCTTGTAATACCTGATTTAGACCTCTGGAATGGAGCAAGGAAACACAGCCAAGATCTTGCATTGCACTGGGTTGTAACACAGTCCTTTAATTGATGGTTTCTTTGCATCCTGGTTTGTGTAGCAGGTTTTGGAGCAAAAGGAAGGTCAAAAGCAAGCTGCAGAGCACTCACCTCTTCCAGCGGCTGCACCCTCTGCAGCTCTTCCCGTAGCTCAACTTGTATAGCCAAGGACCTGTTGGTCATCAGCCTGTGTTTCGCCCCAACCAGTTGTTTAACTTCCTCCGCCGTTTGCACGAGAGTTCCAGCTTGCTCCACCAGAGGGCGCTGCAGGATCACAGGCAGGGGGTTACTTCATTGAAATAAAAACTAATCAGACTTGAGAAGGTGGTTTTATGACTACGATGATGGCATTTGTGGGTTGTTTGGGGCTTTTTTGCCCATCTGAGCCCCCCCAGTGTGGCTTATGCTCTATAAATCAGCCTTAGGCTGAAGCATTAGCCTGCTCTCCACCGGCGACTAGAATCTGCCTACAGGCGAGTACAAGGAATTCCATGCAGTTAAGGGAACAACCTAGTGGGAAAGAGATTTTTTTTTTCCTGCTTAATTTTGCCTCGTTTCCCATTTAAATCAAACTATGTGCCTATCCCCCCATTACCTGAAATAGAAAGAAACTTCCTTCTCTTCTCCCAACCCTGGAAACCTAATACTTTGGTTTTTTTGCATGCTAGGAACTTCTGTATATTTATTTTCCAAGCTGCGTTGCCCAGGACCATACAAAAAACCTAAGCAAAATGAAGAAATAAAACGAATTTCCCAAGACTGCACCCATCAGACCACCATTAAAACAGCAACAGGGACTAACCCAAGCTTGTTAAGCAAAAGACTTTCCTTTGCAGGAATCATTTAAGACAGTGTTTCTCACCCTTAGCAACTTTACAATGGGTGGACTTCGACTCCCAGAATCCCCCAGCCAGCATGCTGGGGAATTCTGGGAGTTCTGCAGCCAGCATGTTGGGGAATTCTGAAGTCCGCCTATCTTAAAGGATGCTGGCTGGGGAATTCTGCCAGTTGATGTCCACTCATCTTAAAGCATGTTGGCTGGGGAATTCTGGGAGTTCTGCAGCCAGTATAATGGCGAATTCTAAAGTCCACCCATCTTAAACATGCTGGCTGGGGAATTCTGGGAGTTGAAGTCAAGACACCTTAAAGTTGCTACAGTTGAGAGACCCTGATTGAGGAGACCTGGAATCCAACTGGAAAAGCCATCAGCTGGACAAGGAGCATAGGCAACGTGGTCCAATATGAGTCAAAACCGATTACATGAATGAAAGATGTAGGAATACCAGCCCGTAACGAACGCGTCGCTCACCAGCTCCAAAGTAGCCGTCTGCACCAGGGCCGCGTTGCTCTGATGGGCTGAAACCACGTCCCCCGCCTCTTCCATTTGCAAGACAAGCTCTTCCTGAATCCTCCGAATTTTCTCGCCTCTGCAAGGCAAACATCTCAGGTCGTCCAGCAAGTCCGCCGACTCGTCTAAGCGGCCTGCGTGGGACGTCTCTCCCCCCACCCCGGATGTCCAGGGATTCCACAAAGATCAAAACTAGAAGAAATGAGGTCCAGGGAAGAAAAAACCGAGCTGAGTCAATCCTTCCTAAAGCAGCTTCCTGGGAAGCCTTCCTGGTGGGGTCTTCCTGCCCATGTCCCCCAGAACTGGATACGGAGAGGCTCTACCCTTAAAGGCCCCCTTCGCACGTGCTTAACCAGTTCTTTTAATAACTGCCTTGGCAAGCCGGGCCAAACTCAATGCGTTTCTTTCTGGGCTTCATTTATTTGGTTTAATTTGATTTAGGTTGGCTTAACTAGGGGCTGAAGGCCTCGGGCCAATCTCAGGAGGCGGCTGATGCGGGTTTCGGCATGCAGAGAAAATACGTAGCTCTCTTGCGCGGAAGGGTTTGAATCAGCCCTTCCACCGACTGATCCCGTCATTTTTTGAAGCCCCTCTGGGCATCTAGTGGCTGGGAGTTCCACCGTTTAACGAGGAGCTCCGAGTCTCCTTTTTTGGGTCTGCCTTGACATGCAAGGGAGTGAAAAAGGCGTGATGGTTTTGTTTCAGGGGTGGTAACATCACCCTCCTCTAATGCCGCTTCTCCTGCTTGGGATTTTCAACAAACCGAAGGGGATTCCTTAGAAGACAGTCTCGCTGGAGACATTTGCAAGAGAGACCCTGAACTGGGTCCTTCCAGATATTCTGGACTACCAACTCAGAATGCCCATGGGACACAGCCCCAAGCAGGTCACAACCCTGGGTCCCATCCACTCACCTCTCGGCCATCTCTCGCCTGAACTCCCGCATCTCGCTCCCGTCTGCGACATTCTGCAGAAGACGGAAACTCGATTGGGACGCCAGCCCAGCCCTTCTGGCAACGTCTTCCACCGAGGATGCCATTTCAGCATGGCTGCAGAGAGGAAACCCAACCGAGTGACTGCGGTGGCGGACATCTCCCCGCCTGTCGGCCCAAATCTGTCTGCTCTTCCTCAAAAACACATCCTCGTATTCCACCTTAAGCTGAAGGAACTGGAGAATTTCATCTGGCATTCTTGTGTACAGCATTTTGGTATAACGTAGTCCTTTGGTTGGTCTGCACTTCGAGCTGTTTTTACCTACAGCCGCCCACCCTCTCAGGTAGGCTGGCCTGAGAGGGACTCCCTGGCCCAAAATCTCTCCATGAGAGTCTGTGGCTGAGGGTGGACTAGATCCTGAGTCTCCTTGCTCCCAATCCAGCAGCTCTACCGCTGGGATTGAATGGAAAGGAAGGAAGCCAGGGAGGCTGCAGAGGGCTGGAAAGAGGATTGTCTGTTCCCATCTCTCTGTCCTTCTGCAGCCTCCCTGACTGCCCTCACTCTTCCATCTGAAAAAAGACCCTTGGAAGGGTCATTATGTCTCTTCTTTGGATTGAAGGGAAGGGTGGGCAGCCAGGAAGGGTGCAGGTGCCAGGAAAGAGGACTGTCTGTTCCCCATCTCCCTATCCCTCTGGAGCCTCCCTGGCTGCCCCCGCTTCCCCATCTGAAAAATCCATTGAAGGAATCCCCCCCCCCCCAAGATCTCCCTTTGGGATTGAATGAAAGGATGGGGAGCCAGGGAGTCTGCAGACAGATAGAGGATTGTCTGGTCCCCATATCTCACTTCGTAGCCTCCCTGGCTGCTCCCACTTTCCTCTCTGAATAAGCCTCTCCCCTTGTATTCCCCCTTGGGATTAAGGTGGGAGGCCATGGAGGATGCAGAGCGCTGGAGAGATGATTGTCTGTTCCCTTCTTTCTCTCCTTCTGCAGCCTCCCTGGCTGCCCTCACTTCCCCATCTTAAAAAGACCCTTGGAAGGGTCTTCTCCATTATGTCTCTCCTTTGCATTGAAGGGACAGGTGGGCAGCCAGGGAGACTGCAGGTGGCTGGAGAGAGGACTCTCTGTTCCCCATCTCTCTCCCCCCCTGCAGCCTCCCTGGCTGCCCCTACTTCCCATCTGAAACCCCTCCTGAAGTCTCCTTTTGGGACCTAATAGCAGCGTGGAAAGCCAGAAAAGCTGCAAATAGCTGGAGAAAGGATGGTCCAAGGAAGTTCAGGACATTCACACATTCTCCTTTGACACCTTGGAAAGAAATGCACACCAAAAGATCACACTCCCCAGGAGAAATGTCACCAAAATTCTCCTCTCCTTTAAGAGAAATCTCTACAGCCAATTCTGTTTTGCAAAATGGAAAATGCAGGAGGATATTTTGACATTGGATTTTTTTTTTCTGGCAAGTTCAAGAATAAATCAAAGATGGAAGGGCACACAAATTCTGGGGTGCCACTCAGAAGGAAATCTGAAGGAATTTACTCCCACAAAAGATTCTTCTCACATTCTAATTTGACAGTGAATATTGGCCCAATATTCTGTCTTGGATGAATATTCCCTACAAAGATATTGACTCCTTAATAGTTCATCCTCTGAATTTTAGATGATGGCAATTGACTTTCAGTTTTAGCTATCCAATATTTACAGCCCCTCTTTTAAAAGGTATCCTTTAAAAAAATCAAGCAGAGCCAACAGGAAAACTATTGCAGAGTGATTACACCCCCATTTGCAACGCAATTTATTAAAAATAACAATTTGCTAAGAGCAAAAATACGTCTTTTGCTCAGATCCTTTCTGAAACCAACACAGCCTCACCCACCCAAAAATCTATTTTTTAATTTATTTTTAAAGACTTACACAGCCCCCCTTCCCACCCCCATATTGTAACCACAACCTTGGGCAACTCACAAATTTTGCAGAAGTTCAAAAATATATTTTTTGGGAAGGCGCGTGGCAAAACAATTGCATTTGGGCGGTCCATATAACCAACCAGGCCAGATATTTAATCCGAGCTCCCCCAGTCAATCAATGCGTATTTCTGCTGATTAACCGACTAATTAACAAGTTTAATTAATTAATTAAATTAATTAAATTAATTGATTAACAAGTGCGCAATGTGAACAAGGATGGTGAAATCTGGTTATGGCAGCTTTTAAACTTACCCACGGGCCAATGTGCTGGATTCGAGTGCATGGCGGCTCCAATTTGTAGACCGATAGGAAATCCCAGAAGAAAATTCCTAGCAGGGCGGGGAAAAAATGGAAAATTGTTCTTTTGCTTCGGGCCGTCGCTTGGGAGAGTTGAGGGTAGCGGAAAGAAGAAACGTTTCATGATATGGAGAGGACAGAAAATCCTCAAACAGGGGGTGTGGGGAGAGGCTAATTTGCCATCATTTGTGAATTAAAAAAAATTAAACTTAAATTTAAAAAGATAAATTAAATACCTTTGCCCACTAGGGGGCGCCAGCTAGCAAACTTGGATTGCTCTAAAAAACTAAATTGTGTTGAATCGTTTTATTACAAACTGGGCGGAAGATCTTCAGGATAATCTGAAGATCTACTAAGCTTCCCGAAAGAAGACAGAACTAAACTCCTTTATTATGGCCAAAAATAAGGACGCGCCCGTGGATGCCTCCCGCAAGCTGTCGACTCAAGAGACGTTCCTTTAAAGAAATTAAAATAAATGTGTAATTGGCATTGGAAGCCAACTCCCGATAAATAAGTAAGTTCTAGTTGTTTGCAACTGCCATCGAAAGATAAACAAGCAACTTACATGTTAATCGCTTGCAATTGGCACTGGGTGCCAATGGTACATAAATAAACAAGCGTGCGCTCGTTACACTGGGCGCCGGGAGCCAATTGCAAAGGAATAAACGCATGCAAATGATTTACAATTGGCTCTGCAAGTCAATTACAAATAAATAAACAAACATTTGCGATTGGCACTATAAAGCCGATTGCAGATGAGCGATAGATAGATAGATAGATAGATAGATAGATAGATAGATAGATAGATAGATAGATAGATACTGATTTACTCCTGGCTTTGCAAAATGAATTTGTTTCCATCATTTGCAGTGGGCTCTGCAAACACATTGCAGGCAGCCCTAAAAAGTGGAAATCGAATCAGGCAAAAGCATTCGTGGATACACATTTTGGTCCGGTAGAGCCTCCAGGCCCAGGAGCAGTGTATCTTGGAATCCTGGCTGACAGAGGCAAACCGGGGGAGATGATCTGGTTCCTTGCTGGGGAGGGCCTACAGATCGTAGTTTCGTTCCAAGGTTGCAGGTTGAGTGACTTCATTCACTCAGGTTTCAGCGTTTCAGTTAATAGCGTTGTGGGAATCGGGCAGTATCTTGGATGGAATTTGTGGTCTCTTGATTGTGGTTGTGTTTTGAAGGGGAGGAATTTTGTTCCTAAGTGCTCGGCAGCTCCCTTTGGAGCAGAACTTTATTTCACCCATTAATGCTGTTTTGAAAGACTCATTAATTTTGGCAGATGCCAGCGTTCTTCCCAATTAGATACCAATAGTTTGGAAACGAGGCGAATGACAACCGAAATGGATCCAGCTGGCCTTTACGACGGCAGAAAAATTGCAAACTTTTCTGCGTTCGTTATGAAATGGTCTCTTTTTATACCCGAGCAGCCTTTGATCGCCCCAGACTCTCAGCTGGAAGACTGCTTAGAAATTTGGATCCCACATAGCCTCCACTCCTATGTTCAATTTCCCCTTCTCGTGGCTCAAACCGCTTAAGGAAAATCATTCAGTGGTGTAGTATGATGGACGTTTGTGGGATATGAGAGAGAAGGAAAAAAATAGCACCCCGATTTTCTCCCTTTTTCACCCTAGTTTCTTTTACCCACCCCGTATCTCCCCCTCTGTTTTTTTTGCAGGGATCGATCGATCCATAGAGGGAGAGAGGAGAAGACGCGGGCTGGGGTTGAACTTCATCATAACTTCCCGACCTTAAGCAGCGTGGCGGGGATGGGAAGGGAGAAAGAGGGATGGGCAAAGATCTGGTACCGTGGTCTCCAGGATCTCACTGGCCATCTGGATCTCCTGATGGGTGGACTGCAGGGTGGAACAAATGTCAGAAAGGAGCCCACACATTTTGGTAGCCCGGTGACCGTCGCAACCGATGCTGCTGCTGGCGTTCCAGAGCCGACTGTAGGCATCACCCACCAAGTCCTTCAGCTCAGTCATCTTCTCCAAGAAAGTAACTTTCACACCTGGAACCGACACATCATCGCTTGGGTGGGCTTTCCAGGTCCATACCTCTAAAGCTGGACCACAAGAAATCTGGGGGTGGGGCAGAGAGGGAAGAAAAGCCAGTAGAGCCCTTCCATTGGCCTGGTGGTAAGTGAGACCTGCGTCTTCAGGTCCTGCCCTTTCAACTCTCCCCTTGCCCAAAGGCAAACACACTTACTTGTGAATGTTTGGAAACAAGGCATGGAGATTGGGGGAACGACCCTACAGCCCCTGAAGGCCAGGAGAAGTTTGCCAAAAGGTCCAAACCCAACTTCCCTGCCTTCCTTGTCCTCTAACACACAGGTACCCAACAGACTGGCCCACCTGATTTACAACATCAGTCCCATGTGATCTCTGACTCATCCTCTAGCCTGTTCTGTTGATTTGTGTGTGTGTGTGTGTGTGTGTGTGTGTGTGCACATGCACATGTCCATATGGGATAGAATGTTCATCACATATTTTCTGGTTCACATAATCCTCCAGTTCTTCTGAAGCGTTAGACCTCAACCCAGAGGTGATAGACGCTACTGTAACTGTGCAAATGTTAACAGAATTACATTATTCAAAGCAAGAGAATAAAGTTCATTTAATGTTTCACTCTCTACCCCTTTTTCTAATGTCCTCTGGGGCCCCAACCCTTTTTGTCCAAGAAAAGTGAGGTCTCCTGTTCTTCAGAAGATGACCCTCTTTCCAACCAGCCGTTGTTTTTACCTTTCAACAGGAACTGATGGTGGAGGTGGTCTCCACGCGGGGTCTCCCCAAGCATAACATGATAATAATCTGCTTTTGATCTGTCACAGTTGGGCTTCTGCAACCACGCTTCCATTTTTGCCAGCTTGTCCTTCAATCTATCTGTCTGCACAGAAAGAGGTCAACATGAGTCTGTCTTGGAGGAAGACATCATCTCTCCAAACATGTAGAATAGGAAGCCATGCAGATAGTCCTCGCTTAACGACCACTCATTCAGCGACCGTTCAAAGTTATGATGGCGCTGAACAAGGGGACTTATGATGGGTTCTTGTAGTTGTGGCTGTTGCAGTGTCCCCGTAATCACATGATTGCGATTGGGCGCTCAGTGACTAGCTCACAATTACAACGTTGCAATGTCCCACAGTCATATTTATGACCTTCCCTGCTGGCTTCCAATAAGCAAAATCAAAGCCAGCAGGAAGTTGCAAATGGTGACCAGGATTCACTTAATGATGGCCACTGGAAGTGCTGGAATTGCCGTCGCTAAGTGTTGCAGTCATGTGATGTCGTGCTTTAAGCTGTGTCACGTAGTGATGGAGTTGCCAGTCCCAATTACTGTTGTTAAGCAAGGACTACCTGTATACTGTATATTTAAGGAAGCTGACCAAAAGGCTGATTGACATTCTGTTAAGGGGACTAAAAGGCTGATCAAGAAAGTTGATATTCCAATGAACCAAAAGGCTGATTGATTGACAACACTCCATTAAGCCGACTGAAAGGCTGATTGACTGACTACTTGGCTGATCAAAGCAGACAACTTTGGAGCAGGAATCCTACCTCCTCTTTCACAAGGCTGTAGCAGAGAGGACACTCTTGGCATTGCTTACTTCCTGGGTCCAAGAAGTAGTTCACATCACACTGGTCACACTTGTAACCCACAAAGCCCTTCTTGCACACACATGTGCTGTTATCATGGCACTGGAGGGAGACCGAACCAATCTGGGAACAGTTGCAGGCTGGAAGGAAACAAAAAAGGGTGAAGGCATTTGGGGGTGGCCTCATTACTTGCCCAAATGATCATCTTCAGTGGGTGCAGAATGGAGGAGAAATCATCTTGGACAGGAAGAGCCTTGATTGTAGAATTTTGTTTGGGGTCCAGATGTCCCCAACCCTCCCCTCCACCTCCCTCAGGACGAGTCAATGAAGTTCTTTACAAACAGAGTCAAAGGGGGGCTGGGCCTACCTTGGCAGCCTTGGGAAGAGAAGCCAAAGAACCCAGCCTGGCACTGATTGCATGACAGTCCTGCCACGCCAGGATGGCAGACGCATTGCCCTGTGATGGGGTGGCAAGTGTTCTTCTGGGCTCCCACTGGGTGGCATTGACAACTTGGAGGAAAGAGAGAGAAGAGGAAATGTTTGGTTTAATGTAGCATGAGTCTCCTTGGATGGGACGGGCACCAATTGCCGACCATCATATGGAGCAAGTTTTTTCAACCTTGGCAACTTTAAGATGTATGGACTTCAACTCCCAGAATTCCCCAGCCAGCATGCATGGACCAACTCCCAGAATTCCCTATTCGGCATGCGTGGAGTCCGCCCCCTAGAATTCCCCAGCCAGCATGGGGATTCTGGGAGTTGAAGCCCACACATCGAAGCCCATGGGAATTCTGGGAGCTGAAGTCCACACATCTTCAAGTTGCCAAGGTTGAGAAGCACTGATCTAGAAAACCAAAGGGCACAGGGGATTTGGGGAGCCGTAATCCCAATACATCGAGAAGCCACCCATTTGTAAGAAGTTGCGTTTCGTAGCCCTGTTCTGCTTTTTCTGTAACTTTCTTCCCCTTCTCTTCCCTCCATCCCACTCCTATTACCTTCTGCACCCCAATCCTGGCTGTAGATCAAAATAGCCTTCAAGGCACTGGGTGCAGCCCCGTCCAGCGACATTGGGAAGGCAGTGACACTGGCCAGAAACAGGGTCACAAGCTTCTGGTCCGTGGGCAGAGCCTCCAGGATTACAGTTGCAGGCTAGGACGAAAGACAGCGAGAAGGAGAAACAGCCTTATACTGGGATACAACCGGTTGGCTAAAAAAGTGCACAGTCACGGCTACTGGTTTAAGCTCCTGATTCAACCAGGAACACTAAGAATACTGTGAGCTTTCTGAAAAGAGCTGATTTAGGACTTAATGGTGGCAGAAGTGGGATCAGAGTCTTGGAATCTGCCTGCAACTCATACAAGTCACCTTGCTCATTCATCCTGCACTGACACCAGCGAGGAGAGTTTACTGCTATCCTGGATTAGCTGGCTGTCTCATTTCCTCTCAACACATCACAGATTGTTGGAAGAAGCTCTTGAATGAACAAACAAGGGTATGCAATGGTGACTTTTTTCATTTGGAGGGCAGGAAGAGTGTAACGGGCTGTGAGAATGACCTCAGGAGACAGTGGACAGAAGGAAGAGCTGCAGCCTAGGCAATGGTCAGAGAAGAGAGATCTTAGTCCATGGAAGGAGAGAAGATGTGGGAAAGGTCTCAGAAGGGACCCTCCCTAGTTTTCAGGAGAGTAAAAGTAAGGGAAGGGGGAGGGACTTTCAGACTTGCAAGATTGTGTTACTGTAACTCCAAATAAAAGTTGTGGCATGGTTTTTGTTTCTTGGCAGGAAATCTCGAAGGGCTGACAAACAGGGAGTGATGTGCCAAGGGCTGGGCTCCTTCAAGTGGGCATGACCAAACTGGTGGGGCCAAATGAAGGAAAGAGATGGGGCAAAGCGATAAGCTGAATTTGATTGTGGGACCTTCAAATCCAATTGGGACGAAGCAACCTCAGTTGCACATAAAGGCCACCCCTTCTTATGCCTTTTCCACCTTTCTCTTCAGCGGCCTTAAGCGTGACAACACAGAGGCAACGCTCGTAGGGGTTTGGCGGAGTGCCACTGGTTGAGATCCAAAGTAGCCTTGATTTGATCACCGGCACCATTGGCTTGGCTGGCAGGATGGCTTCCTGCCATCTTGGCTACCCCAAAAACCTTTGGGACAGTTCTCATGCTTAGTGGGGGGACTCACGTGCGCATTTGATGGCTGGGTTAGCCGCCAAAGGATTTCCGAAGAAGCCGTCCCGGCACCTCTCACAATGTTCCCCCGCAGTGTTGTACAAGCAGCGCAGACACTGGCCTGTGGATGTGTCGCAGTTGCCCACTGCGTTGGGGTCCACGTTGCCCCTGCAATCACAGCTACCGCAAGGGCGCACAGATCCGTTTCTTCCCAGAGGATCCCCAAAAAAGCCATCATCGCACAATTCACAGAGCCGCCCTGGAAGGATGCAAACAGAATATTGGTAATGACGACGATATTCCTAATAAGAATCATTTTGCAAAGCCTTCTGTTTCTAAAAGACAGACCTAATTACTGTTTCTCCATGGTCAAACAGGTCTGGTAGATTTCTGAAATAAAAAAGGCTTGCCGACTCTCTTTTATCAGAGACAAAAGATGACAATCAGTGCTCAGCCGTCTCTTCTAAATTGCTGCCAATTTCTTTTTTAAAAGCCTGTTCTTTCTTCTGGCTCTCAATAAATCGCGCTAATGAGAACTCTATGAGAATTGCGTTTGGACAAGAATCGGTTTCAGTTTTAGGCTGGGTGGTGCCCTGGTGATGTCACCCACCTCTCTGTCCCGGGGGACAGTGTGTGCAGACCACCTCTCCGCTGTCCAGGATGGTTGTGCAAGGCGTTCGTCCTGGACAAGGGCAAGGTTGGCAGTCGTCAGGACGGCCGACGAAAGGGTTGCCGTAGAACCCAACAGCGCATCGCTCACAAGCAGGTCCTTCAGTGTTGTGAAGACATTGGCAGATGCCTGTGGAGGGGGGAGGGGAGGAGGAGGAAGAGGAGGGAAAGGCAGAGATGAAGAAATCTTAGAAAGTTTCTCTTAGGAAGAAAATACACTTAGGAAGTGTAATGGGGTGGGGGAGTGACCTTGGGAGACAGGAGGAAGAGCTGCAGGCTGGACAATGGTCAGATAAGAGGCAGCTGAGCCCGTAGAAGGAATGGGAGCCTGGCAAAGGTTTCAGAAGGGACCCCCCCCCCTCCAGTTTCTGGGACTGTAAAGGCAAAGGGGGAGAGAGGTACTTTCAGACTGGCAAGATTCTGTTAATGCCACCTTACAATAAAGATAGAGCTAGTAATCACAGTTGTGTTTCTTGTCTGGACTACCTCGAAGGGCTAACATCCATCCTGCAAGTCTGAAAGTACCACTCCCTTTGCTTTTACTCTCCCAAAAACTAGGGAGGGTCCCTTCTGAGGTGCTTTTGTCACCCCCTCCTCCTTCAGAGTCAAATTTCATTTATCAGACCATTGTCTAGGCTGCAGCTCTTCTCCTGTCTCCACAAGGTCATTCCCACATTCCATTACAGGAAGAGAGAGAAATCCATCTTGCTGGGACTTGGACTTCCATCAAGAGTTTACCTTGTACAACCTGTAGAGGGAAGAGGGAACAGCCTTGAGGAACAGGGGGAAGAGCTGCTATCAAGACGCTAGTCAGATAAAAGAAATCTGCAGCACTGTAATCTGAGAAAGCAACTCA